GTTACCCGTGACACTCCCCTATAAAATTCTTAGATTAATTTATCCATTTCCCCAACATCTTTGGAAAACATCAAAAGGCTCACTCCGGCCAAAAGTTTTCACCTATCTGGGTCACTCAGGATTAACCTAAAAACAGTATGACTTCTAGAAATTAAGTTATGCTTTTATTATATGCATAGGATGAAATGATAAACATAACAAATATTTACTTAAAAACATAAACATTCAAAAACATAAGCATAAAAAAATAAAACATAAATCAGGGATTTATAAATTCATCTTTAAAATATTTACAACTAAAGATTTCCCTTTCGGGAAGTCCCTAAAGTTCTAAAATAAATTTAAGAAAATAAGTGTACAAGAATACCTTAAGATATTCACAAGGACTTCAGCTATACAATAATTTTTGGATTGAGAATTTTTCTGGAGGAGAGGTTTCAAAGGTTTTTTAGATAGCAGAGAGTACACAGGTTGCAAACTTCTGCCTAAACCAAATGTAATTCATTCCTTAAATAGAAAAATTCTTGGGAGAAAAAGGTCTAAACTATCATTGAGAAAGGCACATGTTTCACCGAGAAACTTCTGGCCATTCTAGAATCTAACAAGTGGCAAGAAAAATTTCAAAAGTTTCTACGTCTTTTGCTAAAAATTCAAAAGGTCTATAGTTGGGAATCTTTCTTTTACAAGATTTCCACCAACTTTACAAAAAAGTTTAAGAATTCTATCAATAAAAGAGAAAAAATCTAAAGTTGAATAGTAAACTTTTATTGCTACTTTGAGAGAATCTTTCATCTTTTCTTCTTTTCTGCCGGCACATTTGTCTTGTTCTGCATTATTGAGAATATATATATATATATATTATTCGGGAGCAAGACTAGCAACAAATATGTGTAGAAAAAATTTTTTGTAAGAAAATGACACTTTAGAAAAAGAAAGTCTTGTAAGAAAAGGACAGGTAAGAAAAGAAAAGTTTTTAGAAAAACTACCAATTTAAACACGTTTTGAAAGTCTTTGCAATAAGCTTCTGCCAGAAAAAGTCTTCTACGTAGATACAACTAAAATCTTGTATGAAAATGACAACTAAGAAAATTTTCTTCTAGAAAAGGGCAACTAAAATATTTTCTACGTAGATACCAATTTTGTAGACAAACTATTTCTAGTAAGAATTCAAATTCTTTATAATAAAAAGTTTTTGTGCAAAGTCTTCGTAATAAATTAGTTTCAAGAAAAAATCTACCAAATATTAAAGATTCAAGAAAAAGTCTTTCAAATTTTAAAGATCTCCCTTAAATAGGCTTAGGGACAGGGATGCAAAAACAGGCGGCTGTGGTATGGAATGATTGGGTGTTATTTTTTTTTATTTTTCAAACTTTCCAATCCCGAATCGACACGTGTTGGACCTGTTTTTGAGTATGTTTTTGAATCTGTTCCTATAGCATGGTTCTATTATAAATATGGTAACAATGGAGTGTATTCATAATATTAATTACAAATTTGGAGAAAAATGGATTAAATATAAGAGGAGATAGAACGTTTTTGATTGATTTTTGAAGATGATAAAGCCCTTGTTCTTGATTTTTTCCAAAATTTCTCCAACTTCTTAGTTGAATCTCCTTTGTTGTGCTCTAATTTCCCACAAAAATATGAAGAAAGAAAGAAAAGAAAAGTAAAAAAATGAAAGAGAGGAAGAAGCTTGAATAGAGAAAAGGGTATTCCAAAAATTGGTTGAAATTGACTTATAAAAGCCCTAAAAACGTGTCTTGAAAATTGCCCAAAAAGCTTTTGAAATTTGGTAAAAAAAAATAAAAAAAAATGGCCCCGCTAAACGTGCAGTGTGAGACATTTTTAGTCTTGGTAAATCAAAATGTCTTCATGTGCGTACGGGCTTTTTTGATTTTCTTTGTTCCAATTTAGTCCTCCATATAATTGCACACAAGCCTTCAACTTTGATCATGTACAGTCTGGTCCTTAAATTTTGATTTTTATATCAATCATGCCCTTAATAATTTACATCCAAAGTCCTCCAACTTTCTACACTTGTTCATTTTGGTCCCCATGTTCACAATTTTGGTTATTTTCTCCTTCTTTTTGCCTTGTTATATTTCCATGGGTGATTTTTACATACAAAAACAATAATTACATAATTGTGAGTAGAAATTCACTTATTTGATCAATATTTAAGCTTATTTAGGTATTAAATAAATGTGTAAAAGTACACCTATCAATATATGGTGGTATTTTTGAATCCAAATCTCAATAGCACTGCCAACACGAAATCAGCTTTCATAAAAGCATTCTTGACAGCACTTTTTTACCCTAGCTGAGAATTAGGAATCCTGAGAATAAACTTGATGATCTTCTTTCAAGTGAATAATGTAGCATCAACGCCACAATGACCATTGAACAAATAAAGGTGAATAAGAATCTCAATGAAGAAGTCATATCGATAATATTATTAGGAATCTCTCATCGAATTAGCTTGGTGAAAGGACTACGACCTTAGGCTTTAATGTAAATTTAATGTACGAATTGGTTAATCTCATGAAATATATGATTAAAAAAGGTAGTTTTGAATGAAATGAATTGTCTGATTATTTTCACATGAAGCTCTCGCTAACAATTTCTTATACATTAGTGTCACAGTTGAGTAAGTAATGATATAAGGTAAAGATTTGTTTAGCAAGTCCCAACAACTAAAGAGTCGCAAATTCCACTGATAACAAATTGTACCAATGCTCACACTCTATTTTGTATCCATGTATGAGTAAGGTAGTAGGCACACAAATGTGGAGCCATAAGCGAGGACCGAAGGTAGAGACTAAAGAGCTCCAATGATCAAAGAGATGATATATGGTCTTTTTTAGTGCTTCCTCACAATTGTACGTGATCGTTGACAAGTGATAATTTTAGAAGTAACAGTATTGTTCCATGAGGAACTTAAGTTGAATTATATTAATTTGATGTCAAATTTGAACATAATGGAACAAAAGAGATTTTCATGGTGTGTATGTAGTAACTACTAATATTTATCCTCATGATTATCTAAATATACATGAAAACTGTGATGAGAAAAGTGTGTAGAGATTTCTACTTCATCTATTATTCTCTCGTATCGATTCTCGACCTATGTTATCTAGTATAATTTGTGCATAAATGATAATCGATAATTTAATTTCTATGTCCCCGAGGTATGCTAGACTATTCTTATGCATGACCCAAAATATCTCTGTCCCAATTTCATATGCGAAGTAATGTATTCAATTACACAATTACCTATTTGATTGCACAAGTCATAAAATATTATTCTTAATGTTTATTGAACATTGTGTTGATGATTGCAATGTTCTAGACCGAATTTTGACCTCCCGAGAAACAAAATAAGCCACCTATAGTCTGAATGTTGATGAAGCATTCAAATAATCAATAGGCATGCAATACCAATAAATAACACAATTCAACTAAAAAAGCAACCTATTTCTGAACTCCCGAAAAACAAAATAAGAAACATATTATGTGAATGGTGATCAAGCAAACAAATGATCAATAAGCATGCAATACCAATAAATAACACAAAATCAACTAAAAGGGTCTTTGAATTAAAACAGTAAAACAATGGGTTTTATCTTCATCGCAACACTAAAATACTTATCCAATACCTCTATGATGAAATTACAACAAAATAAAAGGAAGTTCATCACCCGGAACATACAAGTGCAAGAGAAAGAAGTAGGATCAATCTCTAGTTATAAATCTTCAATTCCAAGCTTTTAATATCACTTTCTTGATGTGATTTGCCTCATTTATCTTCCTAGACTTATTCTCCACGTTGTAGCATACAGAATCTCAAATTTGAATGATCAAAGTAGGTTAAAACGTATGCCAAATTACTTTTCAAGACTTAAACAACATCATTTTCCCCAGTATTTATCACCATGCGATCACATGATATACCTTAGTTCTTCTCCGCTAGTGCCAAACAAGCCCTTGTATTCACATGGGCTATTGGCCCACTATGCCAGGGTTTGTCTTTTGCTTCCTGTGCATTTTGGTCTCTGACTTCTATTCTTTGATCATTCCAAGTCCGTTATATTTGCAGTTCAAGTCTTGATCTTCCAATTCTTGTCCAATTGGTCTCCTATCTTAGAATTAAGCACAAACTCCATCCTTTTAGCTCGATTTTTTTCCCTCCAAACTCACTTCCGACATCGAGTTTTACTTAAACAAACTATTTACATGAGATTAAGTAACAATTCCTTAAAAATACTCCCATATATTCATATTTAACGGCTTTGATGAGTGTATAAAATATATTTATCACTTTCCTCAATAAATTTTTATCTCTACATGAAAACAAAATAAAATGAAAAGATTTCATGTAGCATCCCACGCTTGATAGAACAATAATCCCCTTCTATCACAAAAATAAAATAAAAAATGAAAGGCTAAAGAGTTCGTCACAAAAATGATTACTTTTCAAATCAATTTTTTATTTTAATACTAGATATGTCAATTGAACTCCTTGACTCGAATGCCCCGTAAAAAGTTTGAATCGGCTCGAATCGTGGCTCGAGTCGGGCCTCATTTTCGAAAGACAACCTGAGCCTAAGTTGGCCCATTTGGTAGGCCAAAATTGCCTGTCTCACAGGCTTGTAAGCTGCCTGCAACAGGTAGGCAGCTACTTGCTTTGCAGACAATTAAAAAAATTGAATAGCCTCTATTCGACTCAACTTGATAAAGTCTGAGCTTTGAAGTTCTAGCCAAGTTTCGATATTTTGATTGAACTTTGGCTCAGTTCGATTTGATTCAAAAAAGTCTGAGCTATTCGGCTAGTGAATCCGACTCATTTACATCTTTGAGTACAACGAATCAAGATTAAGCATGTTCAAGGTGACTCGTCTACATCCCTATGTACAACCAATCAGGATTAGGCATTAATCGAACCGTTGGACTAGGAAAACATCAAACACAATGCGGTTAAATACCAGAGTCAACTCAACCGAGTCTGTCTATCAACTCATTTCACTGTATCAAGTAACCACTCTCAACTCAGTCGCTGATTCAGTCCCCAATTTCAAAAACCCTAAAGTCATCCAAAGATCGATTGAATAAAATTTAATGGAAGAATACCCGGAGGAGCTTCGCACACCGCCAGTAGCTTTAGCATGTTTGGTGGGTTGTCCAGATGTCCACGCACTAATCACAGGGAACCTGCACTCTCTGCAGCCTCCCATAAATACAATTGCATTGCCCGATTTCTCCAAGATCTCAGTGATTTCCAAGGCTGCGAAAGAGAATCCGGCTGCGGGTTCTGTCAAGCCCGTCGGTGGAATTGTGAAAAGGGATTGGCTTTCAAAGCATCGGACACGGGTTCCGGCTGTTGTTGCAGCTCTTTTTAGCTCCGATCATGTCTCCGGTGATCCCGCTCAGTGGCTTCAGGTCTGCAACAATCTCGAAAACATTAAGTACGTGCCCCTTGTACTCTCTTTTAGTACATATATCACTGCAATTGTTTGTATTTAGTGTATATTGACACATATACATAGTAATGGATTGTGCTTATATAAATTCTTTTCTGGCAGGGCGACAATACTGGGGAGAAACATCAAATTGTTGGTGGTGGTGGTTACACAATCAGGTTCCAAATGTGGGTTCTTACTTCCTTTCTCAGTTAGTGCTGGTCACATGTCGTGCATACATGTGTGAAATAGAATATTGAAGTTCATTAGAACTTGAGGTGTTTGATGAGCTCTGACTGTGATCAAGTTATTCTTTGACTAGTTGTTTTACCGAGGCATACACCAAATTTTACATAATTTTGTGTTTAGCTTGTTGTATTCATCTGATTGAGCCAAATCTTTTGAAGTGGCTTTCATGTATGGTTGTATTGAATCTTGGATTTGATTTATGATTATGACATAATATACATTGATAGTTGAAAATTATAGAGGTATGTCAAGATCTTCTTTAGAGGGTGATTGGTGAGGATTAAAATTAGATTTTTTAGTACATTGTGATAGAAGTTTTGAAATATGTGGTTGAAAAGTTTTGGGATCCATGAAAGATGTGGTTAATATTGATTGTTTGACTTTGACTTGAATTAAAATCAAATTTTAATCCAAACCAAACAGGCTCTTAATTTGATTTTTTTGGGTTATATTTTTGTGTATTTGAACTAACTCTAAGATTTGAAATATAACCTAAGTTGATCAGGATTTAAAGTAGAGCATTTCTTCCTCTTTATTCACATTTCACCATTCTAATAGTAGCTTGTTTTGTCATTAGGAAGGGGATTTATATTACATACTTGTTATACATGCGTGGAACTTAATGAAGTCAGTTATGAGGATATCAAATCAAATCATAACAAATCGATGAGTAGAAAGATAGGGGACATGCTTTGAGAAAATGACTAAAAACTATCTTTTAAAGGTTTGAATAATTTTTTTTCTTCATTTATGAATTATGCACGTGCATCATAAATAGGAAACAAATCTGTTTTCATCAATTCATGCATGTCAAATTTCACTCTGACAGAGCACCAAAGGTAAATTCTCTATATTTGGCATTTTCATATTTAATTTTCGATAAATGCTCTTTCAAAATGGGGGCTGATGGATATGTTTTCATTTTTCCAACATGTGCGCTACCATGTTACCTGCACTGGGGGAAAAAAAATCCAGGATAGTTATATGCGCACAATCATGTCATCAACATCTATATGAAAAAAATTTCCCTCTTTCGCCCTTCACTCACCGTGTGCTTGAGTTGGTTTCTTTCTTCTTTTTTCTTTTCCTTCTCTATCTTTCTTTAGTACATGAGATCTATATTGTGACAATGTAGTAGGTCATTATGACTTTGCAGTAGGTCACTTAACCAAACTTTTTGGCTCAGATGACACTAATGAAGATCGCATGATATCCTTGAGGAAACATGCAGAGGTAGATTTGAAAAATCTTATCATCTTTGTACCAGATGATCCATTGGAGCTTAAACAATCTCTTAACAGGTATAGTACTTTGATAACGTTCTTATTAGATTTTCTTGCTTTGACTTTTTATATATTGCAATAATGGCTCTGTTTTCTTGGAAGAAATGGAGGGTAATTAAAAATTATACAGTAAAAAGGTATCAGTTTGTTTCCCTTTATCCTGTTTTAGTAAATATGGTTAAATCTCTCTATAAATTGTTATTTATACTGTTATGGAAATATAATCCTCCTTTCTTTTAATGTTTTATTGTGAACTCCTTGTTTTTAAAGTTAAAACATATGAATACTACGTAGCTACCCTGTTGCAGGCTAGGAACTGCATGTGCTGAGCTTGCAAATGCATATTACAGAGATGAAGGGCGAAGAGTTAAAGCATGTCTTGAAAGAAAAAACGTTGGCTCAATAGAGTTACATATACGTTACTGTTTCAAAGTAAGGGCTATCTTTCATTGGGATGTAGTTCTTCATATTGCTTGCCTTCAGGTTGCATTTATGAGTTAACTAAGACAATTTGATGTGAAATTTTTGTTGAATGCATAACGATACATTCACTGGTTTGATCTTTTCAAAATTAGTAGATTGGTGTTCTGCGATACACACTTTGGAATGCCACTGCCTGTGTTGTGTTTCTGTGTTCTTTACAATTTATTATGTCCAAGTGAAAAATTTAGATTAAAAATAAACTAAACTGACAATCCTTTTGTATTAAGTAGTTGCATCATTACTTGTCAATTGGTTTCTCCCAGGAGATATGTAAAATCAATTACTACGTCCGAGTTTCAACAATGGGTTTTTTTGGGGCATGGAATCTGAAATCTGATAAATTGTGAGTAGGTAACTTATTTAATTCTGTATTGTAAATTTTTATGTTTTTTTGAGAAATAAATAAATGATAAATTTTTTGAATCAGATCATGTATGAGAATATAGTTCCACATATAGAGCTATGGATGCCAATTCCTAGCTTAGAGGATTCAACTGAAGTAAGGAGGAAAGAGTACATGGAATGTGATCCATTCTGAATGAGCATCAAATAATTGAAATAGTAGCAACTAAAGTATATATCCCCCATTCCAACAATATATATTTATATATATAAAAAGAAAAGAAAAGAAAAGAAAAGAAAAGAAAAGAATATCATCATCAAATGGATTGAGCTATATTTTGTTGACTAACCAAGGGAGGTTGTAAAAATCACAATTTATTTATTTATTTTTATTATTTTTATTTTGTATAATGAAATAACAAATATTTCAAAAGGATTCTTCTATCCTTTTCCCTTGACTTCCTTATAACAAAAAAGAAAGAAATGCCCACCTTTTTATTTGGCTGCATTTGTCAATTTTTATTTTACTAATGCAGAGAGGGAATTGTTTCTTGATTAAATCTATCATCTAACAACTTTTGTCTCACTTGTTGAAGTAGATTAGTTGAACTCCTGGAACATTGGTGATTGGGCTGAATGCTTATAAAGCTCAACCAATTGATTCTGCAAACATACCTAATGAAATAAAAGTTTGGTCTAAAAATTGGACAGCATCATGATTCTGGGGTCCTGTAAGCAATTTGACTGGTTTTCTAAACTAATTTGTTTTGATCTGAATCATTTGCAATGCTACGGCCATGCCTTGAACTTTTTGGATTGCCTCTTGGGGGGGAAAAAAAAACCTCTGCTATATAGACAACTATAAAGGTGTTATTACTTTAATAGGTATAATTAAGATGGATCATTGTATTTCACAATCTTTGAGTGGTTATTCAATTCTTGAAAAATGTTGCCTGTGAATGAAATTTGTTGGTTGTTCAGTTCTTTTACATTATCGAAGTATTGGAAGGAATATTTTGTCATCCATTTTCTACTTTCATTATTAACTCTCTTCACTTGTAAGTCTGATTCTGAACCTATCAACTTCTAGGTTGCTGTATATGCAGAGTTTCGCAGAGATTGGCTTGAAGCTCTGAAGATGTACGAGGAGGCCTATCATGCTTTGCGAGAGGTATTTGATAGGAACCTGAAATGATCTCACTTCGCCAAGCAAACTTAAAAGTAATTAATGGCTGAAACAGAATTCTGAAATTCCATTACTGAAACTTGATTACAAAAGGAACAAATCTGCTATAAGAGGAGCAGATTCATAATGCAAAAGACAACAGAAAATGACAAGGATATATGGATCTTCGAGAGGTCCATTACTCTCCCAATTGACCACCAAAATTCTGCCTGCATTCCCATAGCCCCATCCCCCTATTTATAAGTGATTTTTGAATGATAACTGTACCCTTGCTGCACCTGCCTTCTTTCCCTTGGTTAATTGCTTTATTTATCTTGTTAGTTTATTACGTGAGTTGGGGATCTATTACTCGCCCCCCGAAATTCACCTTATCCTCAAGGTGAAAATTCGGACCAATTAAAAAAATCTCGTGCCTCCAAACTGTAACCTTTACCACGTCAGTCATGATCTGAGTAGAGAGGTTATTTTATCTTGCAAAATATGGCGGACCTATTAATTACTAGCATACTGTCCATGAAAACCCCATATCCGGTCGCACCCCCTCACCCGTTTTCCCAAAATTGAAACCGTCCAATTGAAATACAATGGTGGATGGTACCACTACCAATCAGCTCTACGACCCCATTTTCTTTTACAACTATCGAATTAATTAACAATCTCAACGTCTCACCATACTTCCCACCATTGTTGGCGTTAAAATTCCTCCCCCTTTGTTGCCATTTTTTTCGTCAAACTCATTATCCCTGTTATTCCAGGCTAATTTTCTTGTCTCGTCTAATATCATGAGTGAAATTTGATGGGGGCTAATTATTTCCCTCTCCAAACAATCACTCAACAAATTGCCAATAACCACCACCACTTCGTGACTTCTAATATGACCCACGAGTTCTGTAGACTGCAATCCAACTTCAGTTCCCTTTTGAAATCTGGGTTATTGGCTTTTTCGATGGCCAGCGGTCTGGAACCAGTCGCCCCAGTCGCTTGTGTACCATTATGGAGGAAGTTTGGTGAAAGTGATATCGTATAAGATCTTTGCGAAGGAATGAAATGGCCTGGAACCAGTCGGTCTGGAACCAGTCGCCCCAGTCGCTTGTGTACCATTATGGAGGAAGTTTGGTGAAAGTGATATCGTATAAGATCTTTGCGAAGGAATGAAATGGCCTGGAGTCTGCTTATGGGCCATTTGATTTGAAGGGAAGCGTTGGGCATGTTTCATGAACTCAGTGATGTTCTCCACCCTTGGGTTTGCTCCCTAATAAGGCCCAATCCCTGAGGTTGAATATGGCCCAATTTCCTGTCACAGTCCAACTCTAAGAAGTCCATTATTTTTCCATTGCTCCTCCTGATTCGGCCAATTCACAGAGATCCATTCCACGACCTGCTCCGATTCCTTCTTCTCCTCCGACGATGGTGATGGTAGGATTTGATTGATCTCCAGTCTTCGGTGGTTACCTCATGTCGATCCCGACTGCCTATATTTACCCAGATCTCATTAGATTGAGGTGGCAATTCAGATGCGTGGGGGGCTTCTAGTGAAGTAGCAACCCATCCACTCCCCTTCCGTTCACGTTCCTCTTCTGGTGCCGGCAGTTCTTTCTCTGGCTTTCCGTTCTCTCTCTTCCAGTTCAACCCATCATACTGCTTCCAGGATGAAATCTTACCATCGGAGGTCTGTTTAACGTGGAATCGATCCAACAGCAATGCCTTCAATTTTTCCCAGGTTTGTATCGGACATCAATAATCTATCTCTTGAAACCATGCCCAAGCCTCTCCAAGGAAGTAAGCGACTGCGGCTTCTACCTTCTCCCTCTCCGGTAAGTTTCGATTCATGTTTATGCATTGTTCTGCCTCAAACAGCCACGAATCTAAATTATCCCTATAGAATATCTGTGTGTTGAGTCGGCCATATGAATCCAACCCTAAATCAACGGCTCGACCTTCTTGCTGTTGCATCACCATCTTCTCCGAGTTACTCCTAATCAAGCTCAAACTCTCTTTTGATTCTCTGTTGCTGAAAATAGTTTCCCTTAGTCTGAGAATCGACCCCTCTAATACCAATTTGATAGGAACCTGAAATGATCTCACTTCGCCAAGCTAACTTAAAAGTAATTAATGGCTGAAACAGAATTCTGAAATTCCATTACTGAATCTGCTATAAGAGGAACAGATTCATAATGCAAAAGATAACAGAAAATGACAAGGATATATGGACGTTCGAGAGGTCCATTACTCTCCCAATTGACCACCAAAATTTTGCCTGCATTCCCATAGCCCCATCCCCCTATTTATAAGTGATTTTTCCCTCTCAATACTCCTAACAGAATGATAATGGTACCCTTGCTGCACGTGCCTTCTTTCCCTTGGTTAATTCCTTTATTGCTCTTGTTAGTTTATTATGTGAGTTGGGGATCTATCAGTATTCTCTATTTATGTAAAAAATAAATGCTCTTAATCTAGAATGGCTTGATACTTTAATGACCCTTTTCGATTCTCTCATGGTGGTTCTATTTACGAAGTGGACCAAAAGTCCCAGGCTTCTTGAGGCTTGAGTGAAAGGCGCAAAATGTAAGGCATTATTCAAGTATTGAGCATATATTATAGAAATAAATTATCTTCAAATATGTATAACCGTTCAGAAAATTTAAATATTGCAGTTCCTTTAGTATAAGCAAGCATTGCTTAATTTTCCGTTGAGCCCGGAAAAATCAGTCTTGAAGTGAATATTTTTATGTGTTCCATCAATTAGTTCAATGTCAACTGCTAAAGAGGCAATGGTAGATAATAACAACAAAAAGAAACTAAAGTTTATTTCTAATTAAATTGGTTCCTTTTCTACCTAAACCTTGATTTTTATTTTAGTTTGTCTCGTGGTATCAAATGTTTCAGTCAATACCACCTCACAAACTAAAAGTATAAGTTAAAGATTAAATGGGAAGTGACCAGACTGGCCAAAAATTTGGGATAGCATTTTTCTGGTATACTATTTTACTTTTGCTCTTTACTTAAGGAACTATATGATAGGAATAGATGAAAGAACTGATGAATTTTATAACTGAAAGTAATACAGAAAATGAGAAATGCACCACACGGATGACCACTCTTTTCTCACTAGATGTATTCTACCCATTTCCCCCCCGCTCATTTATTTATAGCGTTTCCCGTAACTAACTTTAACAAAAATAGCTAACAACCCTTAACAGAATCTGTAAATAACTAAGGCCCCGCTTCA